CTGCGCCGACCCCTCCTATGCCGTCTTGAGTGCGGTCAGTAGGGGAGTAGGGTGCAGCTCCAGCGGAGGGCGGAGCTCGCCTGTCGGGGGGGGGGTTCGCGTGTGGTGTCCAGCGGTTGGCCGGGCGGGTGGAGGCCTTGGAGGATGCTGAGGGTGTTGTCGTTGTCGGGCGCCACCGGGGGGGAGGTCAGTGCCTCGACAGCACGCTTGCACTCTCCGGCGCGAGACGGCGGGCTCGCTTGGCCGCGGGGGCAGCTGCGGGGCGGTCTACCGAGTGTGCTCGTCGCTGTCACTCGACAGCCTCATCCCGCAGCGTCTCCCAATCGCCCTCGTCAAAGAGCTGATACCGCCGACGCCAGACCCGCCCGACACCGCTATGCCGGCCTCCTCGCTTGAGCGAGAACAAGAGCAAGGTAGGGAGAGTTGCGTAACGCAGTGGTCAAGCGAGATATCGGCTAACGCACACCAAGCACAGGAGCCTTCACGGAACACGCAAGAGTCTTTTGCACGTGAAGCAGTGATCGCCCTAACGCTGATTGGGCGGATCTATGGACCATCGTAGGCCACGGGCCTACATGTGCTCCCTGTACAGGCGCCTCTGTCCAGCTGTGAGCGTATACATTCCGCAACACCCCTCTTCGCACACAGCTCTAGGAATCACGGAGCTCTAGCTAAACCCTGACCCCCAAACCCAAAGTTTGGTTATGGGTGTGCGTTTCCCTGTTTTCCGATGTGTGCGTGTGCTGGTCAGGCGGAGGACGGCAACCGAGCCAACCCACCAATGAACGGTTCCATCTGGAAGCAGGAGCGGTGCCTCACGTGTACTCTCCCAACCGATGGGTCAGTCACACTACACAACACTGTGGGACTCTCTGCATCCCTAGTCCACCTTGCGCCTCTTTGTCCCATCACTCTTTGATGTCTGACGCTTTCTCTTCTGCCTCTCAGGCTCTGTCGTCAGCCCATCGCTGCTGAGAGTGATGGCGTCGGCTCCTCTCGTCACCATGC